ATGGAATATTTGAGCTTTTAAAAAATTCCGAATTATGAATGAGATCGTGATTAACTGTTCATTGACTTCATTTAAATTAAATAAATAAACAATCAACAGAAATCTTCTAATCACTCTACGCGTGTGCACCATGGCTCAGTGGAGAATTGATACGATGAATATGATAGGCCTGTTCGAATAATAATAAAAAGACTAATTGCTTTGTCTTTTACTAAAATACTTTTTTCAGTCGTAATTTCTTTGGCAGTTGTAATGGTGATCTTAAGGCTACTTTTCCTTGTGCATTACAACACCTGGCGAATCAAGCAAATGACTATTCTTCCATTTCCTTTATTCAAATTTCAGGAGTTAAATAAACGCTGGCTAGAGGCCATTAGAGTCCAAGGGAATATCCAGAATGAGAGAAATAACTCAGAAATGCTCCTTATATAAACAGAAGCCGTGAGTGAGAAGGATCCGTTTTTTTCAGAAGGTCATATTTATATAGTGCTGTCAGAGTATAGAACGAAAAAGTACAAATCTTGAGCAAATGTGCATTGTCTAAAGTGAGTCAAATGCCAACTTCTCTTTAAGCTTTTTATTACGATTATTATTATTAGCATGGCCTTTTTCACCTTCCTTTTTACATATGCCCAAAGTGCAGTCTGACCAATTTTCAGTGATGACGGCCTTTCTATTTTTTTTAACCAGCACAACAACCTGCATGTGGTGAATTTTCTCATAATCTTCGATTTTGCCATCAGCTCTGTCGCAAACCATCACGTCTTCGCCTCTTTCATTCATCAACTGTTTAAAACAATGACTTCTGTAGTCGGTATAAAAAAGCAAAACACAGCTGCTTTGCCCTGTGAATTTTTGAACGTCATTTTTGCCTCTTCAAGTGATTGTTTTTTTTCCTCATCCGTAAATTTTGTGGGAAATGTCATCTTTATCGAGTTTTCTGCTTTTAGAAAACTAAAAAATTTTGTTACATGTTTGTAGATCTTGATCGTTCCGGTTAGTATAGTCTTGAGAAGGACTGTTTTTGTTGTTGTTGACTGTGTTTCGACAACCTTAGCGGTAGTCATCTTCAGAGTCAATAAATCAATTGCATCTTCACTGTTATAATATATCTTATGGGATATAGGACATGATGGTGGCTTGCAAATGGTATATTTGGAAATAATAAAAATGTTGAAATACCCATTCTAATAATAAATAAACTTACATCATTATGATATGGACTTGATCTGTTATTCTCTTGCGTGGCCACTTTGCTCTTAATCTCCTGGGCGTTTAGAAACTATAATAAAAATGAGTATAGCAAATATAAAAGGTGTATTAAAACCGGAACAATATCCATGTATAGACCATTAATTGCATGAACAAAGGCCATTAAACCAGGACACTGGGCAAAAGAAACCCTTTAGCAAAATATAAACTGACAGATGTACAATTAGTAAACTATCATTTTTTGGCACAATACAGTCTTGATTATGACTGCATTTCAAGGAGTATAGTCAGTTGAAAGCACGATTTGAGCCAAGTTGAAAGTATTGCATACAGCTTTTTATTTCCCTGTAATTAACGAGTGCTTGTTTGCTTTGGAAATACTCACGTGATGATGTGCTAATGAACTTTTTTTGAGTTGTCGCTGGTGTCCGAGAGATCTTTTCATTGTGGTCCATCTGTCGTTGTCAGTTTCGCTATCTGAAAAGAATCAAGAAAAACACTCAATAAATGAAGGTCTTCATTTGATCTTCTTGCAAGGACGCACTCTGAACGGTGTTGTTTATAAAAAGGAAGATAAAAAACTAGGGTTATATTTGGGCAAGCTGAAGGACTGGAAAACTCCTATTTAAAGTCATTCGTGAATTCAAGTTCAAGGAAGTCAATTAAAAGCTCTATTTGGTATTTTTTGCATATAAATTAAAAACAGTTAATATTGTATCCTAATAACAATTATTACGAAAATGTTTATGTTGTGAGAGTTGAGGCAGGAGGCGCCCCATCTAGGAAGGGCCACAGGCGGCCTGGTTCAAACTTACGCCACTGCATATAATCTTGATTAATTAGAAAGCGTTAATGTTTATACTTCGCAATGGTGCGAAATATTTTATTTTTACCAATAGAAGTTAATCTTGTCGTATAAACAACATGCTGAGACATGGTAATCTTCAAGTTGAAAAAGCCAATTGAAATCGTCAAAAATACAAGAGGTTCAGGGAGACTTAAAAATTCGTACGTTAAAAATCGCGTCAGTCCCGTCGTTCTTTCTAATGTACACAAATTTCATATTCTCCGTCAATTGTGATGGAAATTTTGAGTACAAAGTGTATCGCTATAGATGGGAAAAAACGAGATCGACTGACGCAAAATGGTGATCAAAACAGACAAGCTATAAAAAGGCCTCAATCATTTACCTGTACTGTAACTTTTTCCAATGATTCATTTAACTTTTCGATGTCTTTTGCGAACTGTTTTTTTTCCAGGATTTCCTTTTAAGCTCTTTGATCTCCAACAGTTCTTGCTTGCAAGCTACTTTCATCGAGTGAAGACCGTCATAGTATTGTTCTGGATTTTCTTGCATCTTTTTTGAATTCAATTGACTGATGTAATATCGTATGATTTCGTAAATTCCTAATAACATAAGAACTTCATGATTTTGGTCATCAGACTTCTTGCAACATATTTCATTGTATGTGTGTTCAAAAATTTTATTTGCTCTTAAACATCTAAGGACGTTTGACATCTGCATGATCAATAATTATGTGTACTTAGCTAGATAAGGAAAATTAGAATCGGAATTCTGTAAAACCAGAACACTAAAAATGGATTGCTGACTCATAGGGACATTCAAGCGAATATATTTAGTTTAGTATTTACTTGTATTATTCCAACATGATTGATGTTTACACTATTAATTTAATTTTACTAAAAGGAAATCATTCAATACAGCGATTGGAAGACTAAGGTATATGTCTGCTACGCTAACAAGAAACCGTTTGATAAAGTGTGGATAATTAAACAGGAAGTTATTGCAATTAGAAAAATAGGACGTAACACGTACATGTGGGTAGCTTGTCAAGTATATAGTTAGTGCATGAAGTAGATTTAATCAACATAGTTATATTAAAATTATATAAAAAAATTAGCTATTTAATATTATTTACGTCAAACTTGTGAAAGATTTGAAAATGCTCTTTAGTTATATGACCATTTAGTTGCCTAACCTTTCTGCATTTTTCGAACGCCCTAGCGTAGATTGAACGGCACGTGACTTTGCTCATAAGCCTTGCATCGTGGAAAGTGAAGTCATTCAAATTTCTCGCGACTTTTACATGTTTTTCCCACTGAAAACAATTGTTGCTTCCATATTGTTTCAAAAGGGTTTTCTGACGTGTCTGAGATGTCCTTGGTCCCACAACTGAAAAATCGTATGAGATGTATTAGACTATGTTTACACTTATTCGGATCGGCCTGAAAACGGCATAAAAAAGTAACAGAACCAAGTTGCGTTTATTCTGAACTTTTGCCAGAGCGATACGACCACTCTTTCTAAACGTCGTCAAAGAAAACGAAGCGCTACGCATTGTCGTGTAAATAGCTAACCATTAAAATTTCGCTACAATTTAGAAACCTTTTCCATTTAATTCGTCCCGTATTGTGACACATAGTTGAAAATGGTGATCATTTTACGTTCTGAAAAGCTTTCAATGACTATTTCCGTTGTAACTATTAAATATCATTGTTTTTCATAACATATGGCTAGAGATATAAACATCTAGTAATATGCAAATAAAAATGGCGACATCTTTCACAAACAACTAACGAATTTTGACAGCGAGAGACATTATGTGTAAGCACCCGCAAAACTGCAGCGGAATTTACATGGATCAGGGCAAACTCATTCAAATTATAGAGAAGCGTTTATCCGGCGTAGTGTAAATATAGTCTTAGATTGCATATATAGACACTTGTATTATGGTAGTAAACTTAACATAATTGTATGGAAAGCGCTGTTTATTGTTACTTTTTTCTAATCACATCCCGAAAAGTCATAAACAATATTTGATACGTGTAGGCAGGGCCTAAGTCAATAATTATGCAACCTCCAAGAAGAAGCAATATGCTTGCATTTTCGAAATGATATTTCTAGCAGATAGCTCGAGTCGATTCATTGTATGATATTTTCGTCCTGCAAGAAATATTTTCGATTTTGTACAGATTACCGTGGCTAAAAAAAGCTATTTATATTTGCAGTGAAATTTGAAACAAAGATTGGACTATGCGAGAATATGATGGTCGATCTATTCGACAAATACAATTTTGGGTCAGGAATGAAAGTAAATTTGACGTAGGAAGGACAATACACAAAAGATGCATAAACTTTGACGCAGTTGTACGTCGAGGGATGAAATTGAAATTACAAGAAAAAAAGATGTTGTGAACAAAGATATTTTTATCCAAGATTTCTCTGGTGTTTCTTCATCAAGAGAGCTTTTTTATCGGTTGATGTTAGAGCTAGTGTTGTCAATTTTGAATGTTCAAATATATTCGTTGTTTTGTTGTAAATTATTTGTTATCGAATCAATGATTCCTCGAAAGATTGTGAATACATTTGATTTACCGAAGGTAAATTTTACCCTCAAAAAGTATAAGGTGAAGTACCAGGCAAACAAACTTGCAAGAAAGCAAAACTTACGAGATTGCTAGTTGCTAAAGTGATATTCGATCCTTATTGTGTGCTGAATTTGATCAAATGTGTGAATTAAAATGACATTATACAGCCTTGTTTTTAAAGTTTTCTGATAAAGGATAAAATGCTGCCGTCCGCCATCTCTTAAAATCTAAGTTGAAAATACCGGAATATGATTCCATTTTTCTAAGAGATAGCATACCATAATCCATAGTACTTCATTAGAAAAGTTGATTCAAAATTGTAAAGCTACTTGTAATTGATAGGCGATACTTCAAGTAATAAGGAAACTTAGATCCCAAAGAAAAAATTACATGATGTATACACTCATTAATGCCAAATTTAATAATATTAAAAACTTTACGTACAACTCTTTTGAAGCTAGTTTTGTGATTAAATATATTTTGTTACAATGGCGGATCCAGTGTTAGTCAAAATAAATTATTGGCTCGATGCTCAATTTTTAATACGAAATACTTTCAGAAGAAAACTAAATAATTGAATTTCTAAATGATAAAATTTTATCAAAAAAGTTTCCTCTAAGGTATTTTTTAAACCCCAAACGAGCTACAATAATATATTCTGATTGATGTGTCAATGATCCGTCACTCATATCGAAATATCAAACAAAATTTGTAAATGGTAGCGTTATTGTATGTTATAAAGACCTAGCTATTATACATAAATTAATAATTTATCTTGCGATTGTTTTTTCAACTTTATCAGAAATTTTATAGCTATAGCTATTTCTTCCCTTACATCTTGCCAGTAAGTATTCCATTAATGAAAACTTTTGAATCGCGTCAGTGGTATTCAATTTTCGTTGATGATTGCGTTCATTCATATCAAACTGTTGAAACATCTTAGATAGGTCTTGTTTACAGTAAAATGTGGTCACGTGTATCGCTATCAAATAGAACATCATCATTTTGTCACCTGTACCTTTCAATTACGGTGTAGTGATCACTATATGTCACCAAGTTGTGAGACATTTTACTCGACAAAGTTAAGATAAGATTTATCCAACAACTAGAGGCATAAATGGTCACGTGATGTGGCAACCAAATGATTCGATGAAACTGCTTTCTTCGCACTGTTAAATGTCGTAACGTTTCCTCTGTTCTTAAAATAATTTAAAATTGTCTGGTTCAGTGCTCTAGTGATAAGACGTTTCCACGAATAAGTATCTGTTTCGTGTGTTTGCTAGCACGAGTAGAAAACATAAAGTAACTTAGCCATCAAAATCAACATATGAAGAATTTGGCTAAAAGGAAATAATTGATTGAAAAACTAAAGGCCTTAAAATGGTTTTTCTTTCTAAGTTTTAACCATTGATCAAAAGCAAAAACAGAAATTCATCTTTCTTCTTGTGTATCTTAGCTTAAATATAAAGTCCCATATAGACAAGTATCACGACAATAAATTTATGACTTCAGACAACAGACTTGATCTTGATGAACTCCTTTGCACTAGTTCATATCTAACTGTTATAGGCGTTCAGTTTCAAGACGATTCTCTAGCATATTCTTGAATGATTTAAATAGCTACTTCATGCATATTTTTCAAAAAGTTTTCACTTTCAGGTGTACAATTGACGTCACTCGATCTTTTCATTCGAATCTGTCTACTTTTCACTTTCTTACAGGGATAACAAAAGAGGGAATACTTACAGCACAGATCGTACAGCAATGCTCAGAAGGCCGGTTAGAAGAAGACTGGATAGCCACTGGTTAATGCTATGCACTTGGTAAGTAGATAGGATTTTATTTTTTCTTTCAAAAATCTTTAAAGGAAAAATAGTCACGATGTGAATAAAATATTTTCAGATATATCTAAACTGCGAGTAGCAGATTGCAGTGCAGTTTATTTGTAAATGCAAATCTAAAAAGTGTAATTGTTCAGTAGAACTCAGTAATTACACTGTGAAAATGTGTAATGTAAATACTGTAACCTGATTGACAGAAAGGCATTGAAAGCCAAAGAAGCTCTTTTACCATGCATAAAAAACATGGAGGCAGTTGTAATTAAACAAAAATTTCCACAATCGCAATCGTGTGAAATTCAAGAATTACAAAAAATACAAAGATTAAAAACACGTCAGGAAGTAATGTTTTTGTGGTGAATGTTTATAAATGTTGGAAAATTGCCAAGACTGCTAATATCGCACGCCTTTTGGTAGTATTTCGTTGCAGTATTTCAAAAAACTCTCTCGAAAATGTTCGTCCATAAGCACTCGAAACTTTTCTATTAAAAGTTTATTCAGGTTAATAAAGTCCTGAGAAGGACTGTTTTTGTTGTTGTTGACTGACGTTTCGACAACCTTAGCGGTAGTCATCTTCAGAGTCATTTGACAAAAACAAAACAGTCCTTCTCACGACTTTATTAACCTGGACGATCATCATTTACAAACATATAACGATACTCCCGGGTTCAAACCATTTACTTTAAAAGTTTATTCAACTGTAAAAATGCTTCTTTCTATCGAAGAAATATAACTGCTATTGTAGTAGGCTTGAAAAAATTTCTATCCCATGTACTCACCTATTTCTATGGATTAAAATCGAACGGAAGAAAGTGAGATAATATTGGCCCATAATTTAAGACCCAAGAGGCTTTGCAACTTGTGTGTTATCTACGTTTTCTGGATTTTTTTTCTTGAGGTAACGACTTTTTAACTTGTCAGGTCGTTTGGTGGTTTTTGCCTTTGAGGCTTTTATCTGTTTTTTTTGGTTGGCATAATGAGCGCCTAACTGGCATTTTCCCATTCTTTTCTATTGGTTCTATTTGTATAATATCCTGATCTTTTTTTTTGGTTCTTTTGTTGCTTAAGAGAAGGTCGATAGGATTTGTTGGGATGCTCGGTATGTTGCTACGTAAGTTGTGGGATGAGGTGTCAATGTCTTCTTGTTTGGCGTAAAATCTATTTTATGTAAGTTCACATGCTTCTTTGTAAATTCATTATAATTGACTGGGTGTGGGAAAGTTTCGGAATTTGGCTAACACCCAAAACAAATTTTAAGTTTAAAGACCATCAGCTGCATCCATCCTACTTGAACAACTAAGATTTCTATTATTTGCGTGACTTTGGACATATTCCGTTTTGCAAATGTCCGAATAGCAATCAAACCATTTACTGGCAATGACAGAAATTCCATAGTTTTCATCATTTTCATCGTTTGTAAAAGATAAGACAACAACCTGAGCAGAAAGGGCTTTATCAAAGTCTATCGGATTGTCTCTACCATTGGTCCCATCGTAAATTTTAACTTCCTTCATGTGTTTCACCAGATTAACGCAATGGCTTATTTTATTCGTGTGATAAAGCAAAACACCTGCATTACGCTTTGAATTTTTAAAAGCATTTTTCACATCTTCCAGTAGAAGCCCTCTGCTGTCATCCATGCACCGTTTGAGGAATATTTTTCTCAAGAAGCCTTTTTCATTTAGGACAGGAAGTACTTTTGTGCATGGCAACAAACGATCCATTTCTCCAAGCTTCTCTTGCATTTTTGTCTCCCTGTTTTCGAACAAACCTTTCCCCATAATTTGTTGTAATTTCTGACAAAACCTTGACATACAAAAACGTACTCCTTCTTCATAGAGCATCACCTGCAGGGCAACTAAACCACATGACCGTTTACAGAAAATCATCTTCCTTGGATCGAGGCAGCATAACTGTAAACATAATATAATATATTTTAGGCTGTGGCGTAACAAACTCGACAATTGGGAGGAAGGGGGTGGCGGCGCATATCCATACATGCATGTTTTACCACATTCACTTCTTTTGAACTCTATTGTTTTCTTTGGACTAAAACATGCATATATTACTTGTTACGATTAAATGCATATATTACACACAAATTATAGCTATGATACCACGGACTTATAACTAGCCTACATTAAACTCAATTTATTCCGTTTGAGTTTCTGGGCACCTCGTTTCCTATGGATGAATTATGGAAATTTTCAGGTTTCAATGGCTAAACTAGAATCCACCGAACCAAACAGATAAGACATGTTTTAGAAATGGAATAGTTTACAAGTCATCTGTCTAAATGTGGTTTCTTTATTGGATTTGAATGTATCTTTATGGGATATTGTAAAACATATTTGGGGAAATTGGATTGTCCATACTAAGCAATAATATACACACATACTTGATTGTCTGTATTTGGCTCATCGCATTCTCGTGGAAGACTTTTCCCTTCGCTCTGCACCATATTTTGAGGCTAAAATAGACAAAAAAACAACACTATAAACAATGTACAATGCACACCTAGATTGTATGGGTCCTTTACTTTCCACACACTTATATCGTAACTGTATAAAGAACTACGGAAGCAGTAAAATTGGAAGTATAACACTTTAAGAAAGCGCAGTGTGACTGATATTGAAAGCGGCAATTATGATCATGTGAAAATATGATCAAATAGCATAAAATAGGATAGCATTGGTTGTCTATTTGTTTAATATGTGGCTTGTAACAAAGATTAGGATTTTAAATCATGCAATCTAGAATATGATTAACTGAAACCTAAAGAGAATCAACAATTAGACAAAAAGTGTAAATTAGCTATCTATGAGCGAATATTTCCCAAAGACGAAGCACAACAACTATTGATTTCGAAAAAATTTTAATTTCCCTTTGTTAGCAATTAGTTTACATACTTCATGCTCGGACCAAGGTTTACTGCGTTCTAGTGGAAGTCTTTCTCTTTCGGTCTCCAACATATTTTGAGACTAAAAATCGCCAAAAAATAACGATAAAATATTATAGCAATGCTTAAACAACACTTGAATTGTAATGAGACCCATATACACAAACCAAAATTTAAAGAACAAAAACAAGAGCTTCAGCACGATAATAAAAGTACCATTTCAAAAGATCTTTAACACTGGATGTAAAGAGTTCGCTTCATTAATCACCTTACTAACCTCAACATCACTGTCGTACAAAGAACCATTCAACTCATCTTCATTTTCTTCTGGTGTCATTGCCTTGATTGCTTCTTGCTGAAAAGAGTTTGATGATAGTGACGTCGAAGAAGAAATTAAGAATCTCATCTATAAGTCTGAAAGCATGCCAAAAAAGTGAAAACCTACCGGGTGATCTTGGTATTCTTCGCAGTGATCTGACACACAAGATTCCTGCATAATTTTCCGCCCCTGAAATCGACAAATATTTTTTTAAAAATATCGTTTTCTAAGAGATAGTCAGTTTTTTTCATACATCCTGTATAAACTGATTGGAATAATGCCTTCGCGCATGCTCAAATGTGTTGTTTTGAAAGATCTTTCACAACTGAAATAAGCGTGACAACTTTGAAAAATTGATTTCTTTCTCTCCGGGGACATACTCAAGTGATTGTGTCTTGTGTTAGTGCAGACTTAGGTAAGTGGAAAATTTGGTTTCATTAAGCATGATAAATTGTGTTGTTCTGCAGGTGATAATAGGAACAGTTTCTTAAAGAAATTCTCTGCTAATCAAATCTTTGCTTCAATGTGACTAGTTTTCCGTTTTTTGTTCATCAAATATGATGAAAAATGCGCATAAACATGGTTGTCAACTTATTTTGATGATCACAAATGACAAGTTACAAAAATTACCTCAATTTTCATCTTGGAAAACTCATCGCACGTCTTTGAACTGAATTCATCGTAACGTTCTTTAAGCTCTCTGACTTTAACTTGACAAACTTCAGCAATAGATTCAATCAAACGACAATACTCATGAATTTTTTCATGTTCACCTTCCAAAGATATTAGAACACGGACGTTTGACACGTAGAAAAGTACTGACTGCAAATATTCCAAGTCAAATGCCATTTTGTCTTGGGATTCTTTTTGACAATCGACCTGTAAATGCAGGCAATGGTATTGGAAAAATGTTACCAACCATCTATAAAACCTCCAGATAAAAAATCAAGTGCATGATTTCTCTCTATCATCGATGTTTATTTACTGAGGGGCGATCGAAATTATAATCACTATGGTAGCTAAAGAGATAAAATACACGGAGAACGCAAAAGGTTGATGATTAGTGGGGGAGGATGCTCATATTATGCATGTTCTACTTTATTAGTTAGTTAAAATAATTGTAATAACGAATTATACAGTATATATGAATGAATGAACATGCCCCTCTTCCCAATCATCGATCTTCCGCGATCCCTGATACAGGGTTGTGTCAAAAAACCTGCAAAACCGTAATTTACATAGCAACAAGTGCCAATTTTTAGTATACAAATGCATGTGCAACTTTTTACACACCTAGGATTGTAAAATACGTTCTAATTCAAAACATTGAGTAAATTCTCAAGTAACCACAAAACTAAGAAAATTTATTGTGCTAAGTTAAGGCCCGTTTCCACTTAAGAAATTTTCCACGGATAGTAAAATTTTCCAGATTGTGCACGTGTTAAGCAATGCAAGAGATGCGTTCAAATTTTCCAGTGGAAACAGTGTTTATTCCAGCAGAAATTTTGAAATCAAGTTACAGATGTTAGAAACATTTAGCATAAATTAATATAAAATTGTTTGAAAAGTATTTGTGGTCTACAAGTCTTATTTCCCGAATAAAAGTGGCAAATTTGCCGTTAGTCGTTGTTTCAGCAAATATTCGTCTTACAACATATTTTCTTGTATTTATTTTGTATGCCCAACCTTGTGTAGTAGCGGTTTCTTATCAGCAAAAGAAATAATATACGTCTATTTAAGGCCACCATATTTATTCCCACCTTTGCATGAATGGAAAATGAAAATTGTTCCTGAAAAAACAGATATGCAACAAATTTTCCTTTCTATGCAAAAATTTCTTAAGTGGAAACGGAACTTTACGCCTGAACACAATATGAGACAAATTATTAGCTACATAACTTACAAATTGCGGTTGCCTCACATACGGGAGGACACAATTGTGGAACACCTTGCCACAAACGGACTGCCAACAACCATCAGGTTGGGTTAGGATGAGGATTAAGTTTAGGGCTATGATTAGGTTTAGGATCAGGCTTACAGGTAGAGTAAGTATGTGACAGAGTGTTCATCGATTTTAGCTTTCGTAACAAATTGCCGACTTCCTGGGATTATTGCAACGTTTTAACGTCGGGTGATATGAAAAGGTTGCAATTTTGCAGCATTTTCCTTGAAACTTTACTCCTCTGTTGTTTGCAACAACAAACAACAATTTCTGAAAATTTTTACGTAGTCGCAAAATGAAAGAATTTAAAGACTCTTTGTTTCTTTTTGTATGTGTACTGAAGAATGCTGTTTGTTTTAAATTTCATTGAACATTATTTAGCGTATGATGCATCACAGGGAAAAAACTTCTGTTTCATTTGCTTTTGTTTGAAATAGCAATGAAACCTCATTTACTGCACTCAGTTCCTAGCGGAGGGCAAATGCAATTTCGACGTGAAAACATGTAAAACATAGCTATCACTGGAAAACTATAAGCGTAAAACACAATATCAAATGCACTTAAGCATAACAAGCTTCGACTCACTTTTTCTGGGTACATGCACACCGTATATCCGATTGCTATAACATTTTAAATTTTCGGTGTATATATGTCATTGGCAACGTTTAACGTCATAAAAAGAAGCAAAAAGGGCTAAATTTATCAAATTAATAAGCCTTTGCTTCAAATAATCGCCCCTAAATAAAGGTAAACATTGCCTAAGGGGTCAAATGGGAAATCCCCCAGATTATAGAGAATGACTATATATGTACATTTCTTTAGAAATCTAACTAAACTAACTATAATCTAGCTTTTAAATTAACTGAGTAACAAAATGCTTACATAGCAATACTGAAACTTGCTTAGAAGAGAAATAACTCGTACTTTTCAAACAAAAACATCTTTCAATAAATGAAGTTGAATTGTAACATTCGAGGTCATTTAGTAATCACTTTAACTTGACATTTATTGGCAAAATAAATTATTTCGCCAATAAGTTATTAAGCATTTCCAAATATAGAATTGTAATGGTATTCATTATTTCGCTCATATTTGATTAAGCTGTGACAATATTTGATATTTTAAAGAAATGTCGAAAAAAGCACACACAAGGCAATAAATATTGGGAAATGGACTTACATGCTGTAAAGAGTCTATTTACACATAAAAAACTATGACGAACTGTTCAAATTAACAACTAGATTAGGAATTGTCGGCGGGTTCTGCAATTAAACAGCCAAGCAAATTATGTTACTGATTTTTGCTGCGCAACACCTTCGGTGATCACTTACCGTGTTTCCCAATTGTCTTATTGTGTCCAGGTCTGTCACAATTTGCGTTCGGCTGACTACGTCAAGCATTTGCGTGTTGTTATTTTCAACTGTTTGCTCTGTCGTTGCCATTTCCGCAATTTTCTAAAAAACGACTTGGCTTGAGAATCCTTTCTCTGAATGAAAAGACAAAAAATCAACTCAAGTTTATTCATCTTTGAACTGAAGTTTTCTGGGAAGTCAATAAAGCGTCAATTTTAATCAATTTAATCAGACATTACGAACTTGATACTCAATTACAAATACGCAGCGAAAATTCTTTATTTGAACCGGCTAAAACCACGATACAAAAAGTAATCGGTATTAAGTACTCACTTTCTTTCCTGTCACACGAAAATGTTCAAAGGATGTAGTAAACGTATAGTGATAAAAGTCAAAACGTGTTTCACTAAAGTGAGTCATCGAACCGCCATAATGCGATCGTGACTAAAACACCACACGAGTACATACGAGTACACACGAGTACATACGAGTACATACGAGTAACATACGAGTACATACGAGTGACATACGAGTACATACGAGTAACACACAAGTACATACGAGTAACATACGAGTACATACGAGTGACATAAGACTATTTTCTGGTCAACAAATGAGAAACAACACAATTTCGTCAATACATTGATATTTGCGTCTATTTTTCCTTGTATTTGTGTGGACTTTGGGGCAACCATTTGATGGATTTAAATGCTGAAAAGGTATTTTACTTTCATACTACATTCATTTGTATGTTTTAGTTGAATTTGTTATAGATATTTTGTCGATGCGATTTGCCAGTATTTGAGCGCTTTTTGAAGCACTTTCACCTAGGAAATACATATTTATGAAAGCGATTAAATAAACAACGTATAAATAATGCTTTCAAAACGTGCTATATGAAATAAATGTACATTATATATATTTGAATTTAAATGAGAGTTGCACTGTGTTACGTATATATATCATATTATGCGTACAATTTCAGCTTACTTTTAATGTTTTTAAAGTTCTAGCTGATATAATTCAGTCTTTTAACTGCAAAATCAGTATCTTAAAGACCAAAATGAATGTATAATCGCTTTCATAAATATGTATTTCCTAGGTGAAAGTGTTTCAAAAAGCACTCAAATACTGGCAAATCGCATCGACAAAATACCTATAACTAATTCAACTAAAACATACAAATGAATGTAGTATGAAAGTAAAATACCTTTTCAGCATTTAAATCCATCAAATGGTTGCCCCAAAGTCCACACAAATACAAGGAAAAATAAACGCAAATATCAATGTATTGAAGAAATTGTGTTGTCTCTCATTTGTTGACCAGAAACTTGCATTGAGCTCTAAAAGACCTGGAGGGGCAAAGGGGCCTGGACCCCGTGGTCAAAAACATGGCGGTAATGGCGGATTTTGGTTGTCAAAACTTCCACTTTGAGAAAAATTTTTAACATTCGCTCCCTCCCGAAACGGATCTCTATTACTGCTCATAATGACAACCACGATAATGACAACCACGATACCGTAAGCATAAAATATTGAAAATAATGCTTCAGGTTTTTGTGAAATAGACACACACATTTAAATGAGGTAAATCTACTGTAAAATAACGTATATTTTGTCAAGTAATGCTTTAGCTATATTAGAAATAAATATCAAACGGCAATCTTTACACTGTCAATGTGTTGTTAAGCTTTAATTCATAATCCCATGCGCATTACTTGTGTTTTTGACTGTTTGTGAACAGCTTGGTGCAACTGTCTTTCTTGAATAGATGGGTAAATCTTAGTTAAAATGTCCAAAAAGGAGTAAGAAAAAGTTAGCTTACCCCTACGACTTAAGTCGACTGGAAATATATTATAAGTAGGTATGTAATTTTTTTGAATTTTTTTTGGTAGGATTGATTCTGGGTGTCTTATAAAGTATTATGATATTCTGATAAATCTACTGAGAACTTATGAGGAAAATATCTTGAACTAGGAGAGCAAAAGAACGAAATTCAGAAATTCTATAATCATGTTGCTGGTTCTGTTTTGAGCCAAGATATTAGAAACTGGATTGTCATTGACAACCATGGATCTACTACTGAACAGAACTACATTAATTTCCCATTGAAAATACTATTTCTTAAATTAAAGTGCATTGGTTTCTCTGATATAACACTTTTCTTATTGCTGCATGAAGGCAAACCTGTTTAAATAATTATAATGTAGGTGAAGATTTTTAGCATGTTGTATAATTGTTATTGTACAGTCATTATTTATAATATTATGGCCTTGTGTAATGTATGTCAAGAAGAACATGTTAATTCTCAAAAATGCTAACCTTCTTGCACTACTTTTCTCTTGTGTCCTTACAAATTACAGTTACCTATACTAATTTTTTCTAGGTTCAAACAACTTGACAAACTTTTGAATTTTACATTATGCCTTTGAATTTTTCTTTTTGTCTTTTGTTAAAAATATCAGTGAATGACTTAAAAATCAAGTTTATCTAAAATAGTATTTTGTACAAAGTAACTATACATAATTGGAAAAGTCTCATGTTGAAGGCAGATGTGGTTTCTTTTACTAGATTGCTACTCTTATTCTTTTAAATGATATTGTAATTCTTCAAAAGACATAAAAAGTTCTTTGCCATCAATTTTGCTTCTTCCACATTCAACTTCATTGCAACCAATGCATCTTATGTGAATTTTAATCACCTGGAATTGAAAACGTATGGATTTTGTCAGATGATGCAGTACTGTATTTAATGTTTCATGCATGTCATGATAAGCTTTTCTTGAGCAAATATTTCAAGGTAGGAGCAAAATTTGGCACATTATTGAACAAAGTAGTTTTTATCTTGATTTTGATGTACTAACCTGTTTACTACACTATGTAACAAACAATTCATTTACAGAAACACCAGATGGCATTTATAAAACTTTAAGCATAAAGCAAACCTTTACACACCATCACTATGATTGTCCATAATCTGTCAAATTGTCCAGGCTAGCTGTTTAATACAGGTATTTTTTTTTGTACGACATGTACCAAAGAGCTCACTAATTAATCTTGCACTGCATTTGATTTCAATACAGCTCTGTCCTTAATATTTGCTTCATATTTTCAGAAAAATATGAAAAAATCCTCCATTTCAACTCAGTTGAAACAAGGAGTTTTAAGATATGCATATCTCGATAAGAACTGGTTGCTTTGCCTCGTCTAGCAAGCGATTAAGTAAAGAACAAATAAGACTGGATAAACATAACTTAAAATATAACTTAGGAGTAAAAACATTCACAAAATATAAGCCATCACACTTCAAGTATTGACTTAAAACAAAACACTGAACACTTTAAATAGTGAACAATCTTTCGTTGCTTAACGGTGTCATGAAATGTTTCCTTTTCTGGCATTACTTCAGCATCCGTATACCAAACAAGTTTGCAGCATGTTTTAAATATAAAATTTCTAACAGTTTTTGTGCTTGGCATTGATATTTTATATAATCGCAATTGTGGTTGTCAAATCCGGGTGGGCGAAAAAAAATTCATTTCATGAGCCCGCGTCTTTCCGCTGACTTTGACAACCAAAATCCGCCATGTTTCTGACCACGCGGCCGCGCGATAATAATTTATAGTAATTTGGTTGACGTTTCCCCTCCAGGTCTTATAGAACTCAATGGAAACTAGTCGTATGTCACTCGTATGTACTCGTATGTTACTCGTATGTACTTGTATGTTACTCGTATGTACTCGTATGTCAATCGTATGTACTCATATGTTACTCGTATGGAGTCGTATGTACCATTGAGCTCTATAAAACCTGGAGGGGCAAAGGGGCCTGGACCCCGTGGTCAAAAACATGGCGGTAATGGCGGATTTTGGTGGTTAAAACTTCCACTTTAAAAATTTTTTTCAATATTCACTCCCTCCTGATTTCTAATACTGTTTGTATGAACGAAAACAAGTGAGAAAAAAACAATTACGATACCGACAGCATATCATGTGAAAATAAGGCTTCAGCATTGCGTGAAAAACACAGTACAGACACACATCAAAATAAAGAAAATCGACGGTAGAGAAACGCATATTTTGGCTGTAACATTTAAGTTATTTTATGACATTTTAGCCTTTTAAAAGAGAAAATCAAACGGCATTAGTAGACCTGTCAACTTATACATTATTTCATGCTTCTGTGTGTTTGACTGTTTCTAAACAGTTTGGTGCAACTATTTTTCTTGCTCAAATGGATAAATCTGTGTAAAAATGCTCCTAAGGAAGCGAGAAAATGTTTGCTTCAGTCCTACGACATGTCAACTGAAAATTTACCATGGATAAGTATCATAAGTGTATTGTCATTAACTGATAAATCTACTGAAAACTCATAAAGAAAGTATATTGAACTAGAAGAGCTACAAAAAAGAAAAAAATTCAGAACACCATGACACTGTTGCTTGGTAATTTGTATTTTGTAAACAGCTTGGCAGAATCTTGGATCTATTACTGAACAGAACTACATTAATTTTCCATTGAAATTACAAACTTGGAAACTAAAGTGCATTGGTTTCTCTGACAAAAACACTGTCTATTGCTGCATGAAGGCAAAATAGTTATTTGACAGTGTAGGTGAAGAAATTTATCAAGTTCTATAGATATTATTGTGCATTACTTACAGTTTTTTGGAATTGTGTAATATATGTCATGAACAAGATATAATTTTTCAAAAGTGCTAACCCCTTCGAGCACTACTACTCTTCTGTTTTGCTTAAACAGCTTACAGCTACCAATACTAATTATTTATATGTACAAACTAACATTTGGGAATTAAATGATAAACAACTTGTTAAATCTTTGTATTTTACATGAAGCCTTTGAATTAGTTCCTTTTATCTCTTGGTAAAAAAATATTAATGAAAGACTTACAAATCAAGTTTCTCGAAAATAGTATTTTGTACAAAGAAACTAAATAATTGGAAAGGTCACATGTTGAAGACAGACTTTGCTTCTTTGACTAGGTTGCTTGACCATGAGCAAATTTAAATTTGTTTACAATTTGTTTAAAGAATTCTTTTTATTGAATTCTACTAATTCTTCATAAGACACAAAGAATTTCTTTGCCATCTATTTTTGCTTCTTCTACATTCAACTTCATTGTAACCAATGCATCCGATGTGAATTTGTGGATCACCTGGAATCATACCAAGTATGGATTTAATGAGATGAGACAATATGTTTAATTTTCATGCATATTAATGATACAATCATAAGCTACTGTTGAACAAAAATTTCAAGGTAGAAACAAATTTTAGCACATTGTTCAACACACTACTTTTATCTTGGTTTTGAAGTAGTAACCTCTTTACTATAACAATAAATACTTCATTTACAGTAACACTAAGGAGTACTTTAAAATTGTTTGCATAAATCCTACTTTCCAATCCCATTATAATTGTCTAAACTATACAGTCAGGC